ATATATGGGCTAATCGGATTAGTCCCATTAGTTAGAGTCAATCATCCTTTCCCTTGAAAAATTAGTCATATTATTCCGATTAATTATCTATGAGACTTGATTAGCTTAGAATCTGTTAAAGCAAGCARTAGCAATTAATTAATTATCAATTTTGTTTCAATTAATATTTTTTTATATTAAATTTCAATTTTGTCTTCCTTTAAAATTTCATATTACATTGTGTACATTTGAATTCATATTTATTTAAAATATGTACTTCGAAAATTGTGAAATTGTATTACTATTTTTTTGTTTTTTAATAGTTTACTAGAAATAAAAAAGTGTCTTGTACATAAATGATGTAATATATGTACATCAGACACTTGATGTAACTGCATACTTCGCGTTAATATAAGTTTAATGAAATAAAAAATGTGTGTATGTAATCTATCGATCAAATGTATATTTGATCTCGATATGGTTATGRTTATGGWGATATGCATAATTGCGTATGCATTTTGTAATACGACGTAAGGTGCAATATTGTTTTTTTTTTCCTTTTGAAAGCGGTGTTAATTAATTTTGAAATATTGTGAAATATTCACAATTGATTAAGTTTTTTATAATGTGTCTTGAATTATTTTCTACGTGTATTTGTAATTGTATTATTCAATTAATAATTTCGTATGAAATTGAAACATTTTTTTATTCATACATTTGCATATTGAAAAAAACATGCACTTTTTCAAATTCACTTGTGTTTAAAATATAGAAAAAACACATTTTCTAATGCATCGAGAACTTGATATTTTTTAATGTCCACCTTTTGGTCATTTAAAACTTTTTTTTTTTTTTAAATTGGAAATTTTTGGTCAGGGATTTTACATCGAATTTCATTTTTCCACACATGCCCTTTTCATCTAGTTTTTTGTTACAGAAGTGGAGTACAAAAATAAGAAGACAGAAGACAAAGATTATTGGCAAGATCGATTCTAGTGTTTGTAGTTTGTGTTGTGGTAGTAGTGTGGTGTTGGGTTTTGTATCTGAATATATGAATGTATGAATGTAATGAATCTATTTGTGTGTGTGTGTGTGTGAACAATTTTCATTGATTTTTTCTTTTTATAAATCTTTCTTAATTGTTTTTATTCACAGGTAGAAATATTGTTAATAGCATCTGAAGAGGATTAATCTTAGATAGAATTATATATTAAATGATAAGATAATCAAATAAATGATTGATTTATGATGTTATAATAAGATGAGTAATGTAAAAAGAATTTTTAAAAATATTTTAATCCAACRAGRAATTAAAATATTTTTATCAGGTTTTAAATAATATTAGGAGTATTTTTTATAACATTACGAATTCTTATTATTATTAAAATAATAGTCAATGCACTTTAGTGCACATAAATGCGTGCGTTCATATTGTAATACTTTGCGTGTTACATTGTAAGTTTACATTTTTGCGTTTGTTTAATAGGAACTTGCGTTTGTTTAATAGGAATTTGCGTTTGTTTAATAGGAATTTGCGTTTGTTTAATAGAAACTTGCGTTTGTTNAACTTGCGTTTGTTTAATAGGAACTTGCGTTTGTTTAGTAGGAACTTGCGTTTTATATTATTTAAAGTTCCAACCCCGAATCTACGTCACAACTTTGACATGTTTGCGTTAATTTAGGATTGTAAATCGGGTAGGTAGGTCGATTTAAAAACGATGTACATGATTTTTCATCTAACTTAAATAATAAGTTGGATAAAAAATTTGGTGACACGTATTTCCGGTTGAATTTTAGACATTTCTATCTAACAAATGATTAATGAAATGTATTAGCTAGAAAGATAATTATAGAAGTAGAGTCTTAGCCCGTGGGTCTCCGAACACAGCAACCTTCTCGCGGTGAGACCTGGGTCGATATTGCTTGTGATCTATTCCAAATTTAATTGTAAATTATGTAACGCAAGTACTATCGAGCGAATGGCTGTGCTAGTTTAAATTTAAATTCATTTACATGTATGAATTATTATTAACTTTTTCTTGGTCCTTCTGACACATGAATTTTATTAAAAATAATCAAATGAATCTTAGATTTATCAAATAATTTGTTAAACTAGGAAATGTATATATTTATGAAAAAAAAAAGTATTTAAAGTGTAACGACGAGACATCTTGTTGTCGTCATCAAACATCAGTTGTCGTCATCGTCGTATAAAAGTGAGGTTAATGAGGATAATGTAGATTTATCATATTTTTTTAAATTAATTTAAAAAAGTTATAAAAAATAATTAGTCACAGAAGGTAGTAAACGAATATGCATCACTCGTTATGCAATAAAATAACTCTGATCAACAAGTTAACCATGCTAGGAATGAAATACTGAAAAGTATTATGATAATTAAAAAAAAAATTGATATTATTTCTTATCATAAAGCATTTCTACATATATGACGAAAGGTTCATTATATATTTTATCACTTACTTTTTTGATAATAGTATATTACATAATTTATAGATAAGCTAGTATATATGATTGTAGAAAACTAAAAGGTTAGAGTTTTCATTTTGCTTTGATATTTTAAAGTAAGAATTAATAATGCGAAGTTTTGTTGCGGGAATAGAAGAAACATTTGAAGAAAATATAAACAACAGTGATAACGGTGATGTAATAATAAATAATTATCGATTAAATGAGTTGATTGATTTGCGACAAGTTATTAATGAAAAAATAAATAAAAAAGAAATATTCTACAGTTTTGAACTTTTTCCAATGAACGAATCTAAAGATATTTTTGAAATGTTAGTATAATAATAATAAATATGTATTTCATATATTTTCGATAATTATTTAAAAAAAAATATTGGAACTTAGATTTTTCACAGAGATGAACAAATATTCTCCAGTATTTTATGCATTAGCTTGGAGTGCGACAAATTTGTATTTATCATTGAATATTGTTAAACAATTTCCTCCTAATACATTATTACATGTAGCAGTTAAAGGTTTAAAACGATGTAATGTAGAAGCAATATTAAAAAAAGCTTATAATCTTGGAATAAGAAATATTTTTGCACTTTTAGGAGGTAAACAACATTAATATTCTTTATCATTCTATTTACGTGAATTATAAATTATATATATATTTTTAATGAATTAAACAAATTTTAGATTCTAAACTTGAAGATGGTGATTTTCCACATGCCATTGATTTAGTTCAATTTATCAGATCACATTATGGTAAAGAATTTAATATTTGTGTTGCGGGTTATCCTGATATGCATCCATTATCACCAAACAAAGATCTTGATCTGTTTTATTTAAAAGCAAAAGTATAAATTTATATTTTATTTTATTTTTAAAGGTTCTGATTAAAATAGAACAACAACAACAACAACAACAACAAATGAAATCTTATTAAAGCTACATAAAGTTAATAAATTGATATGAATTATTTTATAGGTTGACGCAGGTGCAGATTTTATTATAACGCAAATGTTTTTTGAATCCAATAAATTTATAAACTTTGTTAATGATTGTAGAAATATTGGAATAACAGTTCCAATTATTCCTGGAATCTTTCCAATATTTGATTACAAATCATTAAAAAGAATGACTAATATCTGTCAATTAAATATACCAAATAATATCTTAAATCATTTAGAAAAAATCAAGGATAATGATGAAGAAGTTGAACATTTTGGAATTGAATTAACAATGAATTTAATTAAGGATATCATTGAATCTCAAGCTTCATATGGTTTTCATTTCTTTACATTAAATAAGTAATTAATAATGATTCTTTTTTTTAATTATTATTATTATTATTATTATTATTTATTGTATATATGTATAAAACATATTCTTTCTTCATTTTACAGAATACCAATGATTCAAAATTTATGCAATCAATTGAAACAAATTTATTAATTAAATCTATCATTTTATATATATATTTTTTTTGTAAGTTATTGCAGTATATATATAAATTGGATTGTAAAATAACTGAGTTTGGTTGCAATTATAAATAAAATGTTTATTATAAAATTAGTATAAATTCATTTTGAAATGAAATTAATTATAAATAAATACAAATATTCAAACATGAAAATTATATATATATATATAGGCGGCATTAAAAATAAACTCCTCCAGAGCCTACTGCATTCCACTGACTGCATTCTAATTATTCTCTGCAAATTTAGAAAGGTTTAGAGATTCTAGTAATAACCTTGTAGTTGCACCTATGGAAATTTTTTATGGGTTTAATTAGTCCTCAAAGTAAACATTATTTTACTATTTTTTGATTCCATTTCCAAACTATTTTCCTCGTTCCTATACATAATTGGTATCATTAAAAAAATCATGAAATATTTTAATTATATATATATATATATATATCGTTTAATATATTTTATACACATATACATACATAAACGTATGTATGTTTGAATGTGCGTGTATCTACGTGGATTGGTTGTAAAGTTTTGATTTTAAAATAAAAACAATATTTTTTCAAGTAAACTTGCTGTTACTTTTTCTTCAAAACAAAAATGTTTTTTATGAGATTTAAAACTTTACAATCTACCAACGTATTTGTGTGTGTGTGTGTGTGTGTGTGTGTTTATGTGTAGTTAAAATCTGATATGTAAAAATGAAATATTTGATTAATTACTTGCACTTTATTTTGAAGATTTTTAATATAATAAAATTGATATCAAATTTTATGACAGATATTAAATAATTATCGAGATTGTTATTATATATTTTCTCATCTCGTCGTCAATTTTGTTTCATAGTTACAATAAAAAAAAAAAAAGGATTCTCAAAATATTATTTTTAAAAAGTAGAGACATTTGTTTGAAAAGCAGAGTTTACATTTATCATACGAATATGACAAAGATCGTTTGAAATACTTTTGTAATATTTATTTAATTTTGTTTTTTTTGTTTTTTTTATAGTTTTTATATATGTAGAAACACATAAAGATGAGAAATTACATGCATTTGATAAAAGATTTGAAGGAAAAGGATATATATTTCTTACGTATATACATATATCAATGTCATATTGAAAAATTCTTAATAATATTTAAAAAAAAAAAAAATATAAATAAATAAATAAATAAGAAAATAATTACCAGCATCACGTTTTTATATCTTTGGTTTCATTTCTTTCATTTTGGTTCTTTCCTATCATCTTTCAAACGAAATATTTTTAAATATATTTTTAGGAACTTGAAAATGTTTTTGTAAATACATACATAGTTTTTATTCAAATGATATTGTTTTTTTTTTTTTTTGGTTTTTGTTTTTTTCTCAATATTAAACACATTTAAAGCGATACAATAAAACACGTTATAGAATGTCCCAAAAATATTATATATATAATATATATATATATATATTTATATTAATATACTCAAAGTTTTATATACGTCAACTTGGTTTTTCATTATAAAAATAAATTCTTCGAATAAAACATTAATAACATCACGCCTATTTTAATCACCATTTCTATGGTGATTGAAAATTAAAAATGTGTATTGATTAATCGTTAAATAAATTCAATTTTAAAAATATAATAATCATATAGAAATATTTGCAATATTAATCAAATTATAAGAATGTTTGTTTTGTTTTTTATTTCTATGTGATTTAACCCCTTGCAGTTGAAGGTATTTGTTTTCTCATAGATTAACAAATCATCAAAGTTACACTTTGAAAATATGAATGAACACATGAAACACTTCAAACATTTTCTTAAAACATAAATTAAAACAATTGTTCCTTAATTATTGTAAAAATGTTCTGCATTATGTTCTCAATGAAAAACAACTACAATTGTTTTTTTTTTATTATACACATATCAATATGTTTTATGTTTTTGTTTCTATTGAATTGGTTTTGAGTAGTTGGTAATATGAGTAAAAAAAAAAAACCTTTAAGTGCAAAGGGTTGATAATTTACTTCGATTTCGTTCAAATTTCTATTCTATCGTATTTTTTATTTTTACTGTTAAATATCTAACAGCACATATATATACATATATATGTAAATATATATGTATGTATGTGTATATATATATATATTTATATAAGCGTTATATCTGAAACGTCATATTGACGAAAAAAAATATATTATATATATATATTTATTAAAATCGAAATTGTTCATAAAACTTTCCTTATACTCTGCCAGAAAGATAATGTAATGATTATTATTATTATTATTATTAATAATGTTATTGATATTAATTGATATCATTATAATAATAATTATTATTATTATTAGTGTATAAGTGATATAATAAAAATGAAAATATATATACATAGACATATTATATAATAGACACTTGTAATTTAATTGGAAGCAAATAGAATATATATGTATATATATATCATGCTAAATAGATATAGAATTTACCTTTAATGTGATATCATTGATATCACATAACAGAAATACAGTAGGTAACGAAATACATTTGCATAGCTCATTTTCTTCAACTAATTCTATTCGAATTAGAAGAATATTGATAATGAATCTATTTAATAATCTTTTTTTAAACAATTTATATAAAAATGTAGATTTCGTTTGTTTCTAACCTTTAATCTCCAAAAAAAAAACTGTATCAATTGTTTGGAAATTTTGACACAACGTTGCATTCGCATACAGCTAGGTTTTTATTATACTTAAATTTATTTATAAAATAATTAATTAATTAATTTAAAAAAAAAAAGAATAAGATACAGGTACGTTCAATGCCATCTGTTGGACATTGATTTCGGTGAATGCGCGAAACATTTGAAAATAACCTATACTTTTTTTTTCTTTTCTGTTTAATCAGATTGTTGAATGTTGATAGAAATCTCATAATTTTATAAACAAAAGTATAAGTTATAATAATGATGAAAGTTAAACTGTAAAAACAAATAAATATTTTGTATTTTTGTTTTGAATGGTAAAAACTTCGTGTACGGTAGAAATGTAACACTTAATTGTGTTACACAACGAGTTATGCAAATATTTGTTGTTTTTTTACTTACTGTATATTATATTACATTTACAATAAATCACAAAATAGTATTCGTATGCTTACAATCAATTTAAAACGATTGGTATTTGTTTATAATACAATCATTTCAAATTATACAATATACACACAGAAACCTATTTTAAGATTATTAAATTTTTTAATTGAAATTTTAAGATTGATATATTAATTTGATAATTGAATAATCTTAAAAATAAGTATCTGTTTATAGTAAAATTTTGATTTAAAATTAATAGCTACGAATAATTTAGTGGCTTATTGTATATGTATATATATATATATATATATATATATATATATATAAATATGTGTATTTGAAAACTGATTTTGAATAAAATTGAATGAACTTTGTATATTAATGACTAATTGGTGTATTTAGATTCGTTTTTACGTTTGTCAAATATTTTCAAAATGTTTTACACAAAATCGAATGATTTCATGCGTGTTAAGCTAATTTTCTAATATTGTTTTAGAAATATTATTGTTAATTATAATAATTTTATAGACAAAAAAAAACTACTACTTGTTTTGCGTAATCAGATAATTGAAAATGATACAAAATTATTCAATTAAAAATTTTAAATCGCAATTTCGTTGCGATGATCATTTTGTAAATTCAGAAATTTCCTTCTTACAAATAACTTGCATTCTTCCTTTCTTTTTTTTTTGTTTTTTTTTTTTTTGTAATTCATTCTTCATTCTAATTTTATACTTTCGTTTTAATCTTCTTAGTCTCTCAATTTGTTTGTTTSTTTCTTTCTTCAATCTTGTCATTTTTATCGGATACAATTTTTCCTTAAACAATTCATGACCTAGGCAACCTGTTCGTATTTTGCTTTATTAATATTATTAGCCAAGCAACATGCTAAAAATACACCGATCAATGGGAAGAATGCAACCCCAATAGCCGTGCCAGCTACCAATCCAATATTACTGTTAATGAAACTTAATACAAGATTGTAACAACCCTATAATGCAAAATAGAAAAATCAGTTTTTATTATATTATATTATTTATAATTGAAAAATCTATTTATATGTATAGAGTGTCCCATAACTGGTGGTACAAACAAACGATAAAGGGTAACACTGTATTAAATAATTTAAATAAAAAAATATAGAATAACATTTGTTTATACAATCCTTCATATTTTGAGAAAATTAAGTTTGATAATAATTTGAGTATTTTATTGAACTAGCAATCCTGAGAACTAAAAACCCTATAATCAAATCCCTTGTTCACTTGTACCAACAGTTATAGGACACCCTACTATTAATTAATTTAATTAATTTGTTTAAACAATACCTCGGTATAAATGTTATCAGAAATTGATGTGTTACAATCCTCTTGTACTTTGCAACATGACATAGGAACATTTGGTGGATTCATATTGAACCAATCAGTATAATCTTTGCTTCCGCAGCAATGTAACTGCAATTAACAAAATAATATTTTAATATAAATTTAACCCTTAGAGTGCCATAGACGCATATATGCGGTTTGGTAAACATTATCAGAGTGGTCTATCAAAGCATATAAGTGTTTGTTAATATTAATGTAAAATTGTATTAAGAAAGAAAAACTTTAATCATTAAATTAGAATTTAGTTAATAATAAATCATTCAGTAGCTGCAAAACATTTTAGTTAAAAGTATTGAGCAGTCAAAGGGTTAATTATTTTATTAATAATAAAAATATCAAATTACTTACGGTAGATTGCATGGTATCGATATGCGAACGTTTTTTCGGATCATGTGCATAAGCTGCTATGCTATCGTTTAATCCTTGTTCAAATCCTTCATTCAAGGACGTACGATAAGCATAAATCGAAGCACCAACACCAAGTTCCAGCAATGCTACCACCGCTAAGAAAGCTCCGTACTGTAAATTGTAAAACATAATGGAAAATTATCTCAACAATTCTTTTTTATTTTATTTTTTTTATATTTTTTTTTTTCTTACCAAATAAAGTAAAGCAGGGTGTCCACGAGCTGTACAACAACACGCTAAAGTTGCTGCAAGTGCTAAAATTGCACCAAGACTTGCAAGAGCTAACAATGCTGTTCCACTTCCTTCATCATTGGTATTAACATAATCTTTTAATTGAACACGCATCCATATTCCGATACACAGCATCAGCATACCGGATGCCTATTTTTAAGCAAGAATAAAAAAAACATGAACAAAAATATACATTAAAAATAAGAAAAACTTATATTTCAATGATTTTTCAACGTAAATGTTTAAATACTGAGAAAATGTTAGTTTATGTTAATCCAATTTAAAAATTTAAATATTGAACGCGTTAAGAGATAAATTCATTCAATATGGAATTTGTGATTTTAATTTTTTTTTTTTTAATCAGAAATATTATAGGAATTTAAATAAAACGTTGAAATTAATTATCTTTCCTGTATCATAAGAAAAAAAAAAAAGAATAAAAAAAACCAATACAGTTTAATTACAGTGACAAACAATATCAATTTGTTTGCTGGTTTGATTCGAGAACAATTGACAATGATACGTTTGTCTTGTTTCTTGTGACATCATTTTGATTCGTATTTCTTTATTCTGATCGATTAATTGACCGTAATACAAATAAGTTTAGAATCAACTAGTGTCTCGGACACGTCGACAGGTAGATTAAAAAGGGTCACACGGAATTGCGAACTGTTGCGCAACAGTTGGCTTTAATCCAATTTTTTTTCTAATTTTATTAACAAATTGTAATAATTTATAAATTAAAAGTAGCTTAAATTCTAATGATTAAAACATCAAATCTAATTTTGTCAATATAATAATAAAATTATTTAATTATCTAATTTTATTGTACAAATATTTGACAAAATATTTAATTTTAAAATATTTTTTATTAAACTTTTAATAAACTGAAAATTCTAATGATTGGACATAAAATTTAATTTTGTTAATAAAATAATAAAATAATGTAAAAATTATCTAATTTTATTGTACAAATATTTGACCAAAATAATATTTTTTTTTTTTTTTTTTTTAATTAATTAATATTTGAACTTTAAAATATTTTTATTAAATTTTATTAAATCATTTTTAAATAAAATAATTTCATTAGAATTTTATATATTAAATTTGAACATATTTAAAAAAAAATTGTTATTAATATTAGAAACGTATTTTGTAGATTTTATGTTGGTATTATTAGAATATAAATATTTTTTGTTGTTATTTAATATAATTCCGTGTGATACTAATTTTTAATTATTCAAATATTATTTTATAATATACAATTATATTTTAAAAAATTGCATAATATAATATAGTATAAAATAATAATACAAAAATCTATAATTTTATCTAAACACACACTATAATATATACTACTATGTATAACATATTTTCATAAAAAAAAAAAAAATTATACAAAACAATCTACTTAACATTAACTAAACACCAACTTATGCAATTATAAAATGACCAACCATCCGTTCCTTCAAAAAAATTTAAAACATAGAAAATTTCTGAAAAATACATAATCTATATCTCAAAAGATAAAATCTCATCTGGAAAAAGATTGAAATATTGAAATATTGAAATAATCATATCTCTTACCCAAAATACAAAATTAAATAATATAAGGAGTGTCTTCATGCAAGCCATCGTGGCAACAGTTTCCAATCTTATGCTCATCTTTTTCTTCTAAATTATCTTCTTTCACCTCCTCTTCCTCCTTCCTCCTCCTCCTCCTTATCTTCTTCACAAACTTCTTAACTTGAGTTTGGTTTTATCCAAAAATTTATCTACTCCTTTATTAGTTTGTATTATTTTTCGTTAGATTGATTCTTTTTTATTTGAAGTTTTATTACCAAGCCAATGTAAAATATGACACGTCACGTTCTGCGAACCGAACTGAACTCCTCAACTCGAGTCAACTGAACATACACACTTGGTTCACCTTTTCGTTGTACAGTAGTAGTAGTAGTAATAGTAGTAGTAGTAGTAGTAGTAGGGAATACTTCTCACTAACAAAAGTTAGGATCGATTCTAGTCGCAATTCCACCCTCTTCACTCCTCCACCCGGAGTTCATCCAATCCTTTAAGTTAGATTACGAGCATGCGCAATTTCAATCTTACATAATAATTTTCACATATTTTAACGAACATATGCCACCGTTGTTTATACATCTTTTTTTTTTGTTTTTTTTTTTTTTTTTTTTTTTCGACAATTCAAAANTTTTTTTTTTTTTTTTTTGTTTAATCCTGTATATTATTTTATTATTATTTTTTTTTAAATTCATATATTATTATTATTTTTATTTAAAAAAATAAGATTTAATTCTATTAGTCTTCATAACTTTTTTAGAATTCAAATAGTATCATGATTATTATTATTATTATTATTATTGTTATTGTTGTTTTAAAATATAAGATATCATTTTCTTAGTCTTCATATTTCTTTAGGATTCAAATATTATTATTATTATTTTTATTGTTATTAATTTTAGTTTGAAAAATAAAACTTTTATATTTAAATTCAAACTTTCAATCGATCTCATTGATGTTTTTATTATTTTCTTTTTTCAGAATCAAATTTTTGTTTTGTCTGGTTTTTTTTTTTAATTTTGTACTTTTGTAAAGTAAGATAGATATTTTGTTTTTTATTTATTTTTTTTTTTTTTTTAGGGTTAGAAAGTATACATTTTATTTTGTTATTGAAAGAGGAAGATGATATTGATATGATGTTTAAGATAAAACTTATAAAGTTGTGTTTGAAAAAGATGGGAAAGGTTATTCTTCATGGATAAACTATAATATATCGATCATTTTCTCTTCACCTTTTATAACTTTTATTTTGAGCGATGTTTTAATTGGTTGATCGGATAACGATAGCTAGAAGTATAGTAAACTTAGTGTCATCTCAACTAACACGTAATAAAAAGTAAATAATAAAAAATCGTAGAAGTATTCTATGCATATATAATAATTAACGAAAATTTAAATATAAATATGGAATAAAAATTGTTATTTATTAAAACGTGGATTAAAAATTAATATGTGTAGGTATAAAATTAATACTATGATATATTTATTTTCTTATCGCAAATATAATATATTATTAACATAGTTGTTTGAAAATTTACATATAGCTATAATACTTTATTTAACTGTTGTTTAGACTAGAAATATTATTTTTGTTTTTATTGTTATTATGTTTTGACAAAATTTACACAATTTGTACGAATTTATTAGTTATATGTAAATAATAAAAAAGTTGTAACATTATTACCTACGTGAGGTTCGATATCTATCAAATACTTATTAAATTCTGAAATAAAATTTATATTAACATAAATTATAAAAAAACTATATAAATATTAAAGCATTCTATTTTTTTTTTTTTTTTTTTCAATAAAAATTTTACAAACCTTGATAATTCTTTGCACCAAAAGGTCTTCCACTAAAAATATGGGCCAATGTTACTTCAGGGAAATTTTGTTTGAATGCAGTTGATTCTATTTCATGAAAATCTTTATAACGTGTTACAGATGTGCACATAAAAGCTATCGAGTATTTTTTTAAATTTATTTCATTTTTCAAATCTTCAAATTTCTTTTGTATTATTTCCTTGGTATTACAATCTTCATTTAAAATTAAAAACTTGGCTACTAAATCTATGTCACTTATAAAGATTTGTAAAATATCCGAATCATATTGTTGTTTTAATATGCTAAATGTTGTAGAAAATACGTCAAGTGATTCTAATGTACATCCCCAAATAGGACCAGCATATGGATACCTGTGTGAAAAAACAAAATACGAATTTTTTTTGTTAGAAATATGTTACCAATACAAATATTAATTTTATTTATATAATAGAAATATTTCTATCTCAAATATATAATATATTACCAAGTTGAAAATCGTGCAATTATATCCTTTAAAGCAGGTATTTCGGAATATGTGCAAAATAAAATTGTACAAAAGGATGGTGTTGATACTCCTTCATAAATATATTTTTCGGAACAAAATAAATCTAATCCATTATGAGTTTCGACATAGGAATTAGTAAGTTGTATTTTATCTAGGGATTGTTTTCCTTGTGTGGAATCTACAGAAGTACGTTTCGAAATTGGTATACTAGGTCTTATGACAAAATTTAAAGCATCTATTTTGAGATGACATGTGAAAGGAATTAAAACCGTCCAAACTGTATTAACATCTTCAAAAATATTTCTTTTCAATTCTGCCAAAATGCAATGTACTGGTAGGACCTTACAAATATGTCCTTAAACAATATTCAATTAATCTTTTACAAAATAATAATCCTTTTATTTAAATATCATCACATAAAAATCATTCTTACCTATTGCTATATCAGAATTGCAATTCTTGTTTGTAAAAATAAAAAGTAATAACGGTCTCATATCGGTAGAAAAAAATACGTGTTCATTTTTAGCAACTGCCCTGTTGTAACGATTTATTATTATTTCCTGTCTAACAAGCCTAGGACCTTTTCTTTCAGTTTCTTCATCAATAAGTTGAAACCAAGACCTAACGGGTCAATAAAAATCTCGGATATATTTATACAATTCCTAATACATTCAAATACACTTATCATTAGTTTATTAAAAGAGCAATAATTAAACAGAAATTTTATTAAATATAATAATGTTATCAAACAAGATATAATTAATAATAAAATATTTCTTTTAAATGTACTTGCAAGTTGAAGACGCAACTCTCAAGTCGTCGTTGTTTAAATAATTAACAACTAAACGCATAGCATCATCACGTACGTTGTACTCCATTGTTTACCTTTAATGATTAATATAATAGAATGTAATATTTCTCGATGAATTATTCGGTTTTATTATCAAAAAAAAAAAAAATAAATTTGTTGGTAGAGGATAGATCTGATAATATTCTGCAGAAATTGTTATTATACAAGAAATTAAAACACACACAAACTTTTATGTACAATGTGTAAGCTTGAATATCAGGATTGTACAAAATTTTGATTTAACTGTATTATTATCAGTATTATAACGTATTATTAATTATTTTAAGTATTATTGTATTATAAATATATAATATTATGGTTATACCTTAAGTTTGAATCACTAATTCTTGTCATTAAAAGTCAAACATTGTGAGAATTGATGTTAAATCGTTGTGTTACTTCTCAGTTCATTAAAAAGCACATCATATACAAAAAGGTTAATGTTTTTAACTAGATTTAATTTGTTGTTAATTTTATGTAAATATATAAATATTAGACAAAGTAGGATAACACTTTTTCTTCATTTAAACAAAAATATTATTTACATACCACTCGTTTTAACGTAGTCTTTAAACAATAATTGTTTGAATTTTGATCAATCAATTTTAAATTTCTGCGAAGAAATCAAAGTAACTTAACTGCAATACTTATTGTTTTTATACTAAACACGTGGCTTATCTACACACTTACTTAGGTTTTTGAGATACTGTTTAATAGTTTATTAAAGACTTTTGCAATGTTATGGAAACAAGAACTCGTTTAAATAGTCGGAATTGGAATCATCCGATTATAATCTAGTTTGTCAGGTAGATTTTCCTTATTTGAAATTTATTATTTACATAAATTTACTCAGCACTTGACCTTTTATATTTTTGTTTATATGATGATAATAGAAATCTAACACGACGCACTACGGTTACTAGTATAAACTACAGTTTATGTTCTCAACAGAATTATTTATAAATTTCTAATAATAAAATCAAATGGTTTATGCTATCAGAATAATTTAAATTCGACAAAATGTACTTTAGAAAATATATTTCACCACACCATATTTTTTTCAACATAAATAAAATGTTTAAACATGGAATAAATGATTATGTTTGAGAATAAAAATTATCATATATTATATTTATTTTCTTATCACAGACACAATAAATAATTACAATTTTGTTTTTATTGTTATTATATTTTGACAAAATTTACACAATTTATATGAATTCATTAATAATAAGAAAATATTAATAAAGTTGTAACATTAATTGTTTCGAGTGGTTTGATATTCTTCAAATACGTATAAAATTCTGAAATAAAAGTCATATAAAAATTGTTCAAATTTTTTTATATTTTTATGCAAAAATTTAATATTAACGCATTCTATTTTTTTTTTTCTAATAATAATTTTTCAAACCTTCGAGATTCTGTGCTAAGAATGGTCTTCTACTGAAAATATGAGCCAATTTTACTTCAGGGAACATTTCTTTGAATGCAGCTGCTTCTATTTCATAGAAATCTTTATAACGTGCAACAGATGTGCACATAAAAGCTATCATGTTGTTATTGTAACCTACTGCACTTTTAAAATCTTTAAATTTCTTTTGAATTTTTTCCTTGGTATTACAATGCTCATTTAAAATTAAAAGCTTAGTTACAAAGTCTATGCCAGTTAAATAAATTTGTATACAATTTACTTGAAAAGATTCTGGTCCTTTGTACAATGTATTGCGAAATACCTGAGCTGAATTTATTGTACATCCCCAAATAGGACCATCTAATGGATACCTATGTAAAAACACAAGATATGAATTTTTTTATAGATATGTTACGAATACAAATATTATTTTTATTTATTTAATAGAAAAATTTCTATCAAATATATATTACCAATTTGTTAAATGTTCAATTATCTCTTTTAACTCAGGAATATCGGAATATGTGCAAAATAAAAGTAAAATAAAGTCGATGAAAAGTGGGTCAGAAGTCATCATACGGTGCCAATCTGACAGTTCATGTAATTGTCGGAAATATCTAGGCACGTAACTTGGTCGTCCTCTTCTTTTGAGATCTAACCATCGTAATTTCGGAGCTGGAACCTCACATTTTGTGACAAAATATAAAGTATTTATAGTGAAAAAATATGAAGGAGGGAATATAACCGTCCAAACTGTATTAACATCTTCAAAAATATCTCTTT